TACCCAGATCTCCACTGGCTGCCAATGCGTGGAAGTGCTGGTGCACTTGTGCGCTGAGTCAGGAGGAGCAGCGCTGGAGGAGAAGATGCGCTGGAGGAAGGAAGATGCCTGTACGCTGGAAGTGATGCAGCCATAGCTGCCCAGCGAGTTGGCATTAGAAGTAGAGGGTTAGTATGTAGATATGAGTAGTATCCAGAGTAGATCCTCATGAGTATTGAAGAGTGTATATGCATCATAAGAGGAAGGGATTGAGGCTGAGAGAGTGTTCATTCAAGGTTGGCTATGGAAGATACTTACCTGAGTTGGATGTGATCTGCAGAGGTGGCATTGATGAGTGGTGACCACATTGATGACTTGGAGACTATCTGCAGGGGTAGCACTGATTCACTGGAAGGCATATTGATGAGTTGGCAAGATATTGGTGTTGCGCTGATGAGCGCTGGACTCAGGGAAACTTTGAAACACTTTGTATTCATATTTTTGATAATATAAGCTGTGAAACTCGGTTCTCATCTTCTCTACCTTTGTCTATTATCAGACTACTGTTCGTTGTGTGTGGGAGAACGATGCATGGCATGTACACACTTGCGTGAGATGGTCTCCAGGACCCATGCAGTTGTAGTAAACTTGGAAGTAAAAGAAAAAAAAGGAAAAAGTTCAATCCCAAAGCGAAACAGTGAGGTAGCTTGGTTAGTGAGTGACGACAGATCCAGTGCGAAACTTTTTTTCGTCTTTTCAAAATTAAATTTAATTAATGCCAAAAATAGAAGTTAGATTCTGTCAAGCAGTCAGGTTGGATACCTTGTTGTGATCAAAAGACCAAACACCTTAGGAATCCATTTCTTTTATTTTTCTTGTCTTTTTTCTTTTTCTTCTTTTCTTTTTTCTTTCGAACGGGTGACGGCCTTGAAATATTAGTATTTAAGTTTTCAAAATTTGAAAACAACTCCTCTCCATCCAGTTTAGCGTTAAAAAAAAATAAAAGAAAGAAAGAAAGAAAGAAAGAAAGAAAGAAAGAAACATTTACGTAAAACATCCCTCTCCATCCAGGTAAACATTTTCATCGCACAGACAGCTTGGCATGAACCTGGTCTTCTTCTCGGGAATGATTCAACTTAGCGTCACAAAAGACTGAATGGATAGCACAGAATGATTCCTGAGAAGGAGACCAGGTTCATGCCAAGATGGCTGTGGATAAAATGCAATATGGCCTCCACTGAAGCAATCTGATTCTGGAACAGAGTCAAGAGATTCTCTCTCTCTCTCTCTCTCTCTCTCTCTCTCTCTCTCTCTCTCTCTCTCTCTCTCTCTCTCTCTCTCTCTCTCTCTCTGTGTCTGTCTCTCTGTGAGCCCCCTGCCCCAACCACGATCACCACCTGAGGGTCCGTTAACCTCCCTACATCCCTGAAAGGCAGGATGAAGAGTGGGTTCATCCTAATCGGAAAATCACTCTGTATCTGGGCTACCAGAGTGGCCCGGGACCACTTGCCCAGCCGGGCCAAAAGAATATACAAAAATCAAAGTTAAAAATAAAAAATAAAAAAATAAAAAAATTTAGAGTCTTACTTTTTATTTCAAATAATCAAATTTGGTAAAGAATTTCGATATGACCCTGAGGCAAACGTTGTTCAGTTTATTTTTCTGCATAATATTTAAACGAAAAAAGAACTCAGAGCCCCTTCTCTATTCTGGGGGGCGTCAGTCCGGTTGCTTGTCAACGGCAAGCATGTTTTACACAAGGGCCAGTAGAGAGAAAAGATAAGAAAAGGGGGCCAGCCTAGCCCTTGCGGCACTAGACGCCTAAACAAGGGGGGACTGCTACAGAGTGCCAATCCCCCAACATATTTATTTTTTCAGAAGTCTTAGATTTATTTTTTGTCCTTTTTTTTTTCTTTCTTTCTTTCTTTCTTTTGCTGGGACCTTCTCATATACTGCTGGCCTTCGATCGTCAGTATCAGCGGTCGGTATCCGTTAATCCATGCTTAGTGAGTCTTGGAGGCGCACCATTGATTAAAAAAAAAAACAGACAGGTAAGAAAGACAGGTCAGGGTATGTACCGGTTTTCGATTTGTGGCTTTCTGAAACTGCCCGCCGACACTAAGGTAGGGGGCTCCTCATGGTCATTTTTGAAACAGAAAGCTACCTTGTTCCCCCGAATACAACGTACGGTCATTATAATAGCTGTATTGGGGGTATCTTTCAGTCTAAATACACCTGCAATGACCGCTCATGGTCATTTTTGAAACAGAAAGCTACCTTGTTCCCCCGAATACAACGTACGGTCATTATAATAGCTGTATTTGGGGTATCTTTCAGTCTAAATACACCTGCAATGACCGCACGTTGTACTTGGGGGAGGAAGGTAGTGAAAAAAAGGACGAGAGAAAGAACGCTCGTCCTGGTTGTGGCAGTACTGGGGGGTTTTTAAACCACCAGTACCTCCACGTTTTTAGGCCGTTAACGCGGTGGCTGAATCGGTGCGCTGTGCCGGTCCATATGCATTTGCGTCAGAGGGGGCCCAGCGGGGACCTAAGACCCCCTGGGTTACTGGGGGGGTTTAACTCGCATGCCCTTACCTCACTTCGTTCATACGTGGCCTTCGATACAGTCACCCGCGTCGAAAGACGGTCGATCAAGCTGACGCGCTTGATGGCATGAAGTTCACCTGTCGTTGGATCGCCGAACACAAGCCACCATCCTTCTTCCTTCAACTGCAAAACCGCCACAACCGTAAAAACTGCCGACCCATCAGCAACAAACCCATCCATCACCACAAAGCTTCCTCACAAATATGCCCCACAAGGAGGACGTAGATAATGGCGCACATCTTTTTTTTTGGTTCTTTTTTTTTTTGAAAAGAAGATGGCACGCATCAGAAAAGGGAAAAAAAAAAGAAAAGAAAAGGGGATTATGACAAGGACAATAGAAACAAACGACCCAACGGGACTAGCTCAGTTGGTACACCGAACGAACTACTGAAATACAGACCCAAGTGCCAATCCAGCTGCAAACAGAAAAAACTAAAAATTCTGAATTACCTGGGGCCTGTCAGCTCAAAGATGATATCTCAAGGCCGTTGCGCATTTAAAAAAGAAAAAAAAAACACAAAAAGAAAAGAAAAAGAAAAGATAGAAACAATCGACAAAATGACAACTTTCGATTGCGCAAAACGCCAACAGCAACTCCCAAAAGCTGCAGAAGAAAAAGAAAAACGCGCGAGCCGTTTTCCAGAATACACACTCCCAAAAGCCACAGAAGAAAAAGAAAAAGTTGAAAAACATACGCCCGCACGCGCGCGCGCCCGCTCCCACCCACAAAAAAAGTCGCATGCGTCTCTTGTATGGTTGTCAAACTGAAACATTGAGGGCGCAGAGGATTGAACAGAGCTGACTACCGCCTGCCCCCAATAGAACGTACGGTAATTATCGCTGTGTATCTGGACTGAGAGTTGCCCCAATTACAGTCATTATCGCTGTGTATCTGGACTGAGAGCTGCCCCAATTACAGCTACAATGACAGTACGTTCTATCTGGCGGAAGACAGTAACCTCCTGGAGACGAGCTGACAGTACAATAGATAGTGTCTTTGGAACAAGCACAGGCGATTAAAGCTGACCTGTGGACCCGAACACCCTGTATCTAGACTGAAAGTCGCCCCAATGCAGCTATAATGACCCTAAATTCTATTAAGGGAGAGAAGTACACGGCAACCTCCTCGAATCAAGCTGACACTATAATAGCGTCATAGCAACAAGCACAGGGAACTAAAGCTGACCTATGGACCCCAACGCCCTCCAACCTCGCCTCCCTGAACAACCCCCCCCCCCCCCCCAACCCCCCCACAACCCCCCACACCCAAAAAAAAAAAAAACACCCACCGAACTTCGTTTAAACTTGCACACAACAAATATGCCTGTCCGGCTGCCATCAAATCAAGGCCAAAAAGGTCTGTACCCCATTCCAGAGCCGTTCCCGAACTACATTCGTCCGTATAGCGGAGCAGATCCCCAAACTGCATTCGTTATTGAATTTACATACCCGGGCTAACAAGCTTTGCTTCCGCGAAAACGACCGCTCTTCGAGCCGCCTCCTTCGCAGCAAGTTCTTCACTGCGAAGACAAGGATGACTAAAGCGGAATGGCGACAAACTGACAAGAGCACATACCTTAGGGAATCTCGGGGCATAAGCTCGTAGGCTGCGACTTCCTGAGGCCTTCCGTCTCCGAAGATGTACCTCCAGAGCCAGGCTGGGCCCGGCTTCCGCTTCGACGGTCTTTTCTTCGGCCACTGGCTTCGGGTTTTTCTCCCTCCATGCCCATCTCAGGTCCACCCTTGGGAAATTTCCAACAGCCTGCAACCAGACCCCGAATGCCCAACACGCCCAACCCCCTTGGGACACATCAGTGCCATCAACGATACTTGATCGGCAAACTCACAGTCTAGAATCTGCATGTTGATTGGAGAATCAGGTTGTATAAACTGGTACAGTGGTACATCATAACACTGATGAATAACTGCCGGGGTTGATGTGTGCGGGGACCGCTGATTATTAAAGAAAGAAAAAAAGAAAAAGAAAAGAAGGAAAAGAAAAAACGGAAAAAAAAAGAAGAAAAAAAGAAAAACATCAATCAAGATTCAAGAATCAAGATCATCAAGTGACATAATGACGATAGCTCGATTAAACCAGCACCCCAACAACCGGTGCACGGTTCATTCTTCTTGTCTGCAAGTCCCGGAGCAAAATCTACAAGTTCCAGGCCAAAATCCAGAGTGCCCAGGCCTGGTAGAGGTTTGGTAGGGAAGGGTACCACAATTACTTTTCCTCACGGCGACACTGTAGATTCTAAGGTCGGGGAAGTGCAACTATTGGTTTTGTTTGTTGACGTAGGTCCGGGTGTTGTGTGGTGGTTCACGCTGAAGTGGGGCTTGCACGACAGCGGAGGAACGGGCGACATCGCACTAAGCAAAATGAACTCTGGGCCGGGCCCCTCACGGTTCACGGGCATCATCTTGCCCGCTGGGTAGCAGTTCAGTAACTTCAGTTGTAAACTTCACAAGGCGAGCGACTTTGCCGCTTGCTTCTCAGCATGTTTTTGTCTTTTTCAAATTGGGTACACTAAGTTCTGAAAGGGGGGAAGGGGCTCTGCATCCAGTGCGTGGGCTTGACTGTTTTAACTTTTAATTAATCCTCTTCCCGAGGGAAGTAATCGATGCTGACAGGGGTACCTGAGCTGTAACGCGGGGAAGCGTGGAGTCGGGTGTACATTGCTTATTCCAGGGATGCCGACCCCGGTTCCCAGCAGGTGCTACACCCCCCCCCCCACCACACACACACAGACACACACGCATCAATAGACGGGGGGCAAAAATACAAAAACTAACCCTCAAAAGGACAGGAAGCAGCAGTCTTACCTGAAGTGCTGCTTTTGCCTCATCGGAGGACATCACAGCCAGAAACGCTTCCCTCACTCTATCAGACCCAGCAGTCATGAGCTCTGCTAGAGTGCTAATGCCGCGCGCCACAAGAGCTGTCATTGCATCTTCTGTGACATGTGGCAGCATCTGAAGCGACGAATCCGTGTCCCACCATAGCGCCTGCAGTTAACCAAACACGTGCATCAGCCATCACAGATGGAATGAAATTATGAAACTTTTGAAAGCAACGCAGGCAATACACATCATTGTTTTTAATAACTTTGTATATGGGAAGGAAATTCAAGGAATGCATTTTTTTTTTTGTAAATTAGTTATCGAGTAATATCAACTTAATGCTCATTAATTACTTCATACTAGTTCATACTAGCTCATAGTAGTTCATAGTACATAGTAGTTCATACTAGTTCGTAGGTGACAGTTGCCGTATGCTGTCGAGTGCCATGCATACCAAAGGGAGGTGCTGTTTTATTAGGTCTTTTAAACTTTTGACTCTTTTTTTTTTTTTGGTTTTTTTGTTTTGTTTTGTTTTGTTTTTCCTTTTAACACACCACCTAGGCTACCAGAGTGGCCCAGGACCACTTGCCCAGGCGGGCAAAAAAGAATATATATATATATTGTCACATAACTACAAACTAAAAGAGCGCACTTTGCGGAACAAAGAATAAAAGCAAAAAACGGGCACAGTGATAACATGCAAAAATAAAAATAAAARCAAAAAGAAAAAACAAGGGCAGATTGAAACCATTAAATTTCTCATTCTTCTTTGAACTCCACCTCCACTGTGCCTCTCACGTGCAAGGCTCGCCACGTTGATGAAGTTGAGC